GAGGTAATATAAGGCAATATTATGAAAATTTTGTGGCAGACTCGCATAAATGTGCGTAAATTATAGATTGTGTCTTGCTTGCTGTGTCGTCTCGGTTGGCTGCAGACAGTTTGTCTTCATGGTCTCTTATTTTGCAAAGGAAATGTAAAATGAACGTATGAAATACCAGAGGACATTAATTACGAGTGGCTCCATAAAATGTAACATTATCATTTAATTCCCCGTTAGCTCTTACGTCAATACATTGCTAATGAGCTCAAAGTGTTTCATCACGGAGCGCCTGCTCGGAGGCATTCGTGAGATAATGTGTGAAATTTGCTCCGAAACTGACTTTTATAATTATAGTAACGGTATTTACTAAGTTAGTTAGTCCATTCCGTCCAGGTTGCGTGGTTTTATCATAAAACTCAGACGAGTTGCGTGTAGGTGAAAACTGCGGTACACCCGCTGGGAAATTAAACTCTAGCGACGCGGCGAGGTGGCGTTAATTTGTTTTGGCACAGACAGCGCCGGGGTCCGTCTCTAGCTTCCCGCAGCCCCTAATGCTCGAGTGTCTGACGCTCATTCCTGCAGAAATTGTCCAAATGTAGCAGCCCTCTGAACTGATTTAATAACTTTTACGTAGTTACGTTGTAGTTGTCTTGTCCCTACTATGGAAGGAGTAGCCGTAATTAGATTTTTAAGTCTACTCTAACTGTCAAGTTTGTTGATAATGCTCCTGTAAAATACTTTCCTAGAAATAGACTATTATGAGAACAAAGTTATTAAAGCTACACGAGATTGTAATAATGTTGGAACTTCTAAAGACGTTACCGTATCTCGTATTCTGATTGTTTACAGTCATGAATAATAATCGTTTACTATTAAATAACTAGAGATTCAAGGTGATAGTAGGATAATGAAAATCTTATTCCTCGACAGTTAAACGGAACGTTTCAAATGTAAATCAGAGTATTGAAATGTATATCTTGACAATGTGACGGATTTGAAAATATTGTGCATTGTGTATTAATTATCGTCTGTGTTCCGCGAGAATGGTTAAAAGATGAAACTTCGTATATAAAATCTATACTAATATTATAATAAAAGCTGAAGAGTTTGTTTGCTTGTTTGAACGCGTTAATCTCAGGAACTACTCATCATCATCATCAGCCTATAAGTGCCCACTGCTGAGCAAAGGCCTCTTCTCATACGGAGAAGGTTAGAGCATTAATCACCACGCTTGCTCAATGCGGGTTGGCGATTTTAAACTTATAATTAGAAATCATAAGTCCAGGTTTCTTCACGATGTTTACCTTCACCGTATGTCAGTGGTGTCTAAATAATCATAGAAAGCACATATAACTCGGAAAAAGTCACATTGGTACTTGCCAGGTTTTGAGCCTCATGCATGAAAAGCGGGCTCCTCCTCCTCCGGAGGTTACTCCGGGCCACCACGCCGGCAGGAACTACTGGTTTGGAAATAATTCTTTTTGTGTGTGTAAATTGCATAGAAAATTAAAAAAAAAAATGGCATTAGGATAAAAATATTGAATTGACCAGTAACAAATTACAGAATTCCACTCACCTCCCCTCTCGATAGTTTTCAAAGGTTTCACTTAACGCGTGTGGATGCATTGCTCAGTAAAGCGGGTGACTTCTTCTAATGAGATGTGAGCGTGTGTCCATGTGTACACAACGCATTTGTATCTTTAAGTTTCTCATGTCGGCACGACTTGTAGAGAAACGTAGCTCGATAAAATGAGCCTGTGCCACGATTTATCTTAAAGACGGATCACTTTTAAACTGTGTTTTATAAGTATTTTGCTAACAGTGGATCCTGTTGCTACTGCAAAATTTAAATTAGTAATTAATGAAATGTTCTTTGACTACTTTCTTTCTGAAAATTCATTTCTTTTCCGCATCTTCATTTCCGCCCGCGGCTTCACACGTGTATGAAAGTAGCAGTGTCTAAAGCGACAGCTCGACTAATACGCAACTATTGTATAATTTAATGCCTATAGCACTCAGGAATATTGTAGCTATCTGACAGTGAAAGAATTTTGGAAAATTGACCAGCGGTTTCAGAGATTACCCTCTACATGTAAACCTACAAATATACCTCTTTATAATATTAGTATACACTTATGAGAAAGTTCAACCCCTAAACCCTGAAGTTCTCGTCTTAAGCATTACATTGATTATTTCTGTATAATACAAAGAGGTTAGTTTTCTTAAGTATATCAAGTAGAAAGAAAGTAACGTGATCTTATGCCCATATTTTTCTGGCTAAAGGTCATTGTATTATTTTATAAGAAGAAATATGTGATGGAGTGTTTCTAAGCTTGTTATGTAGCTTGCGAAAGGTTGTTAAGAAGATTATAATCTTATATTGAGAAGTATTGAATCAAGACTATTTAATAGCTTTTCGGTAACCCTGACAGTTTTGAAAAGGGTACCCTTCATCTTTCACGTGTCTTCTTAACTGCATTTTTAATCCTGTGGTCTCTTTGATTGTGATTTTTTTGCACCCATCCACATCATCATTAAATTAGTTTTTGAGATTAATCTTTGTATTCCTCGCTTTTTTTAGTTGTTACCATTTTTTTTTTGCTTAGCTATAGTATACTATCACCAAGCAAAAAAAAAGCTTTGTGCTAAACTGTATCAAAAGTATCTTGAGGTTAAAACTTGTGTTCAATCAAGATAAATCAGCAGTTAGAAGATTGATGATGATATGTTATTAAAAAGTAAACACTTAAAAGTACTTTAGAAATATAAACGTCACAAAAAAAGATTTGACATGATGATTTTTGACTTTGACTTTACCATATTTGGTTCCATACAAGTTCTGTGCCCGTCATCTTTTAAAGATAAAGCAGCTTCACCAGAAACAGTTTCATAACAAAGATATTACTTATTATATTTTTCGTAGAAACAGTCTCAGTTCTTTTTGTCACCTCCTATGTATCAATATAAAACAATATTCCAATAACTTAAAAAAATCGTGTATATGGAAATCAGTAGGATTTATCAGTAAACTCTTTCTGTCATTTGCAGTGCCTGTTAGATTTGGGTCAATAAGCATAAAGCTGTCGCGTGACCATTGAGGGTAGCCTGACACATTTGTCTGCTGACAAACGTGACCAACTTATAATAGTGGATTACATCCATTATTATTTAATAACTTGACATACCTATCATTATAATGTGAGGTATAGCGAACTATACTTAACGTTGGTCCTGCCTCATGTCGAAATATCCAGAATAAAATAATAATGGCCACGATTATTACTCTTTTATTTGATTTACCTTATCAAATTATTTATACATCTTCATTCTTCTTTATACATCTGTGCAGATGTATAAAAGCGGTTTAAAATAAATGCCTACGTCGTTCTTTGCCAGTCTATATCTGGGTGGCACAGAGACAGGACAGGAGAGACAGGTGCAATGACATAAAAATAAATCAATTATTTTTAAGTGTACACCTTAAATTGACCTTTCCCTCAATAGTTCATGTTATTAGCGACCCGCCCCGCCTTACGCGGGTCTATTACTGATACTAATTCAAATACGATTCTTCTTCAATCACCCTATCTATAAAAAAAACGAGAAGTAAAAGTTTTAAAGATTTAACAAGAGTTTAACACAACACACAGGGGTATAGAAACCGAGATTTGTATACTATGTAGTGATAATAGATATTCTCTACTCACAACTTTGACGTCATCCCCTTTGTTCTCACCGAATAGAAACCTAAATTGCCTAAAAATAAACTGACCGGGGCATCTAGACCTAACTCAAGCCAACCAGAACAAACTAGATCTCCCTAGAAGAAGAAAAGTTTGATTAGATCCAAACTGCCTAAATGTAGTTTTGAGCTGATATGATTTCAACGTCACCTTGAGATCTGATCATCGATACAAAGAATAAATGTATCGATCATTGATTCACTAATACTTATGTCAATTTTCAAAGATAAATTATATACATATTATAGATGTAATTACACTTTTGCTGTTGAATGTGATTAATCATAAATGTTCTGTTTTTAAAGTTCTATGCTGCTGCAGTTCTGTCTTGTTCTTCATACATAAAAACTCCTTAGTGTATTATTTGTCCCTTATATGGTATTGTAAAGTTAGACAATCTGTCCTTGAGACTAGTACTGTTTTGGAATGTCAGAAATATGGTTTTCTGACATTCCGAAACAGTACTAGTTCAAGAACCAAGAGTGTTAATGATTAGACCACTCATATACAAAAATAATGTTAGCTGAGTTTTTAAGTTCTTATTTTTAAGTCGTTATTTTCAATAAATTTTAGTTTGATATTTAATACAATTTAAAGTTTTATACGTTTAAGTGTTGTGTACATGTGCAGATAATTGAGAGCTTGTTATGTATTCATGAACAATAATTTTGTACAAACATGTTGGGGGTCCATGATGGAGTTGTCCTGCTATAAGCTGAATGTTTGCACAGAATCGAGTAAATCATACTCTTGTAAATTAGTGGTAGTGTAATATTAATTTCATTGTTTTTTTTTTTGGTTATCTGTGTCTGCACTCAAAACCCAAAGAGTCATAGATATTATATAATACGTATCTATATATTTTTAAAAACTTTTTTGATTGACTCTTTTTTGCATCATCATCCATTCCATATTCAACTTTTGTAGAATGCCGCCTATTAAAACTGTGGCACTTTCAGTGCGATTAATATTAATATAATATTCATACTCTTAAATATTTGTCATTTCGTCAATCCGGCAAATATGAGCTGGAGATGAAAGCAGTACATTCATAAAAATACAACAATGAATTCTCAATAAATCACAAACGGGTAAATTGCCCAACGTACAAGTTCCTTATAACTATTTAAGTACCAATAAATTGTCTTAGACACAATTACAATAAGATAATAAAATATTCTCCAGTCATTCTTTTCCCATATCTGATCTTAAATAACATTATTTATTATTTCAATATTCTATAGACATTTTTCTCTTCTTTTTCAGGTCTAAAATACCTGCATTCAGCGCGTATTCTGCATCGAGACATCAAACCTGGTAACTTATTGGTGAACAGTAATTGCGTGCTGAAGATATGTGACTTCGGACTGGCCAGGGTCGAGGAGCCAGATGCCAGCAAAAATATGACACAGGAAGTCGTTACACAGTATTACAGGTATGTGTAAATTAAGATATCTTATTTTGATTTTTGTATTATCCAAACCCCAAGCGAACGCCGGCGTTCGCGCACATATTGTTTTTCTATTGTGTCTCGAACTACCACCATTGAATGGTTAAAATTTTAGTTCACTAGCTTTCCGTCTGACGCCATGCTCGCGTCCCGCCTCTGTAGAGATACCCAAATAAATATTACCCTAAAAATTAATAGTTTCTAAGGCCAATTTCAAACATTGTTCTGTAGATTCAGAGCCTATTAAATAAAAAGAAACACAAAATAAAATTTTCTATTATTATATCATCAAAACTCCACAAGAGACAGAATCTCATTAAAATTACGAATGTAAAAGGAATTAGTTCGCTTGTGTCCGTAATCCAATCTAATGGTCAAAGAACTAAACTAAGGGAATTAAAAAATTCACAGACACATAAATTACCTCGACTTTGGGCTTCTGTGAGTGTGAAAGTACAAGTACTTAGTAATTTCAATTAAGTTTTCCGGATGCTAGCCAGACCACTTGACTAATTAAGTTTCATCTAATAACCCATAGTCGGGATCAAAATTTACTAAGATATAATTATACTCTAGCTTTTGCCCGCGACTTCGTTCGCGTGGAATAGTGACTTCCTATACATTTTTGGTTATACCCAAATATTCCCCGCTCTCGTGTGGCTTTTGGGACCAAAATTAATCCTATATCCTTTCTCGAGTTTCTGTACCAATTTCACATAAATCGGTTCAGTAGTTTAGGTCTGAAGAAAATACAGATAGACAGACAGCCAGAGTTACTTTCGCATTTATAATATTAGCTTGGATTTGCATATGAATGTATATTTATTATCAATTTTAGCAGACGACAATATCCGAACACACTGTTCTAACAAAATGACCATGGTGATTTAAGACCATGACCGCACATAAAAAACAATTCGCAAGGTTTTCCGTACCGTGTCAATTCATATGTTTATTATATATAGTTTATTAATTTGAAAATTACCACTTAATTACCTAAATTAACTATGATTCCGCAACGCGCATGCTGATTTTGAATAAGAGTCCCGTTCAAACTTGAAACTAGTACAGCTGTTAGTGAAATTTTGTATGTTTCACAATGGTCAGTACAAAAGTTATCCTTATCATCTAACCTTTTTGGTTGTATTTACCTTATCCAACCACTAATGATGTTGTACTATTTTTAGTCAAAATGTAACTTGAGTAAGGTTAGTCTTCGCTAATATTCGGTATAGATACGTGTGAACCAGAGTAACCCCCGGTTTCCGAAAGGCCGATCAATGTTAAAATCAATTTAATCTCTTGTCAAGTCATCTGATTGGTTGAATGAATTATCAACAACCAATCAGATGACTTGACAAGAGATTTAACAGGAGATTGGTGAATTTTAGCATTGACAAGCCTTTCAGAAACCGGGTGTCAGTTTCATTAGTACGATTCTGTCTTGGCCGTGAAGTGGAATGGGGACAGTATCAGGGTTACCTGCATAATTATTTGTGTATTTTTAATATTTTTATTTTTCAAGTTCATTTGTGTTTCTTTAGCATTAGAATTCGTAGTTTATTTTAGTATTGAAATTTTTTGTCTTTATGTTTTTACCTAGTTTATTGGTGCGTTTACAAAGTCGTGAATACTGGATAGTGTAAGTCGTAGATACTGTACCAAATGGCCAAATGAAATTGCATAGGTATATCGTCGGAATTAAATTAATTAGGTAATAAAAACACTTTAAATAAATATCACAAATTTCTAAGTACGTTTCAAATCCATGGTTAACTACTTGAGTCCAAATCTCATTTAAAATAAAACGTCAAACTCGTTAATAAAAATATCTGGACGAGTTCCTCCTTCCACGATATACTATTATTCTTTTCCGGCATATTGTATTTGTTAAAATGTATATTAAATCGTCCAATATTAAGTAGTGCGTTTGAAGATAAATAAGGAAAAATCCGCAAAGGATTTAGGAGAAGGTTTAATATATCTCGATTCGTGAGTTATGTTTTATGGAATTAATCTTCGGCTATGAGCGAATATTCTATATTTCTCTCACATTATGTTATTTTATATTGTCTGGACTTGAAAAGAGACTGACCTCTGAGTTTGTTTCGGCATTTCTTCTCAGAGTAGTCAGATAGGAAATGCCGGCTTCATCTAGTTTTTCACATATAATTTGACGTGTAAAAGTGCCGTTTTAAGGCCTATTTGCAAAAATAAATTCATTGTTTCATTGTATTCTAAAGTTCACTTGTAAAGTATTATAGGATAAAAACTGATTTAAAACTTGAATTCATTTGAGATTTATAAAAGACAAACTTATATGTATTTGTAAAGGCTTCTGATATGATTTGTTGGTTTAGGACACAATTTTCTTGCAACTATAAAGTTACCGTATAAATTGTAAAGCACGTTTTTTATCTCAAAATAAACTTTGGATTTTATTTCTTTCGAATAGCGTACGGCGATTGGTTGAGCGCTATTCTGCCGAAGTGTTTGCAGCGTGCGGCGAACCGTTTCGTTGGTGTTGAATGAATAAAAAGTGAATGAATGAGTGACCTGTGCTCTGTTGACCGCAGTTTTGAAAGTAGGACGCCGCGCTAACCGCGTTTGTGTCCAAAACATCAGTACGCGGTGGTTTTGCGAACGTTTTGTCAAATAGTTCGCTTGCATTTTGCCGGTGTTAGTTAGTTACTGGGGTCGCTTCCAGTCCATACGTATCCTAAGTTCACAGAACACCTACCATATTCTCTTGTACACAAAGGTTACTCTACGGCCTTGTCGTTTAAATGAATACCCTGCGGAATCTCCCTATGTTGTGTTTTGTTTCGTTCAACCTTATCAAACGAATGCGGTCTCCCGCCGCATGCAAATGAATACAAACCAAATACACTGAAATATGTAAATCTGTAGGTATATATAATATTATACAGCATCTTTTATACACATTCAGTTTGTTTGTCACGTTTCAGGGGACGGATTAAATTTTAAATTGGAAATTGTTTAGGTTTATTAATATTGAATGCGCAAGTGAATGGTTTGTTTCACCAGTTTACTAGATAAATGAAGTTTTCTTGTAAAACAAAATTGTCCCCTTTATAAACCGTACTAGTAGCTCAAAAATTACCAGTTGTCCAAGGGATTTATTAAAACATACGCTTATAAATTAAGTTCCTGAATAACTCTCCACAATCCCAGAATGATTGAAATCGAATTTTATGATAATATAAGCGCCCAGCGCCTTAAAACCTTTTTTAACATACGCTAAGTAAACATTGTCAACACAAAATCAGCAATTAATCTCCAATTACATACTATTTGCTCAGATATTAACTTATCCGAGTGCAAATACGTGCCTATGCGTAATTAAGGACCGTAAGTAAATAAACAAAAATAAAATTAATAAATAGAATAGGATTTGAAAAATAAATAAGAAACATACATACAATAAAATGTATTGAATTGTATGTTTCTTATTAACTTTTATGACAATAGCACTTATTTCCCTTTATCTGTTGGAACATCATTTACTTTTTTTTTGTAAGGAGCGTTAAGCTATTTTAAACTTAATGATCTAACTAATTTAGACAATATTTCCTTAGTAAGCAGCTTATGGGATAATCCAAACTATAATCTATTCTTGTGCCAAATTTCATTCGGAACCGTTTCGGTAGATTTTTTATTAGTTCATTTTATAATATTAAATCCTATTTATAATATTTTTAAAAGTTATTTTAGTTGCCTACACGAACAGACAGGGCGCGGGGTCAGACAGGCTGTTCCCAGAAATAAATAGAAATCTTTTGTTTAACTCAAATTCCATATTCAAAATTAAATATAAATATTAATAATTATATAAGCCAACACTAAAATACAAATTTTAGTAATGGCCTAAATTTATTTAAAGTAATTCGGAGAAACGATTGCGAAGTGTTGACCTTTATATTAATTTATTAAAGACAGATTAATGTGTACCGAGTGAAGGGAAATGTGCCAAAATTAAGGAAAGAGCGAATTCTTATAAAATAATTAAAAATTTTCCGTGTTTTTTCTTTTTTATCAGACTTTCGAAAGAGGTTTCTTAATTCAGCCTTATATAACTAACCACGATAATACATATGTATATGTATATACAATGCTGGTTAATTCGCCTATCTCGCCTGGTGTTAAGCTGATGATTATTATGTTCCATAGGACAGTGACTTTTTTACTTACATACACTTTTTTCTATAATAGATAAGCCCAATAATAAAATTTTCGAAGGCTGGTGTTAACATTGACATCATTATTTTAATACTAGCTTCCACCCGTGACTTCGCTCGCCTGGTATGTGATAAAAAGTAGCCTATGTCCTATTCCGGAGTGTATACTACGCCTGTGCCAAATTTCATCCACGTCTATCTAGTCGTTTTGGTATGAGTAGTAACAAACATCCAAACATCGTAACTTTCGTATTTATAATATTAGTAAGATAAATAAAGCATGTTAAACAAGTTATTAATGAAGATATGTTCACAATTCCAGAGCACCGGAGATCTTGATGGGCGCGAACCACTACACAGCGGCGGTGGACGTCTGGTCCGTCGGCTGTATATTCGGGGAGTTGCTCGGCAGGAGGATCCTCTTCCAAGCGCAGAGTCCTGTGCAACAGGTTCGTTTTTATTACTTACTAGCTAATTTCGCGCCGTTTCACCCGCTGCTCGGCTGCATTCGTAGTGTGATGTTTTATAGTATATAGCACTCGAAAGTAGCTATCAGCGGTTCCAAAGATTACCCCTACATACAAACTTATAAATTTTACCTCTTCATAATATAAGTATAGACTACCTGGCCTGTCCCTGCTTCGCACGGGGTTTTCCAAGTACCTCGTATTCTGATATTTGTTTTGTCGAAAGTGTTTTCCCTCAACTCGTCAAAAATTAGCTTTCGTAAGAACCAGTGCACAGTGGCTTCGGAACAACCCGACCTTGTGTTACGTCACAATCTCCCTTAACTTTCTCCGTGTTTTTTGTTTTCGCAATTCTGTGTTTCAACGAAGTACCGTTGTGATGATAATGTTGCCTCTAAAAATAATCTTAGTTTTAAGAAAACACGACTAAAACTTCAAGTAGAAAATGAAACAAAACGATTTGAATGTCATTCATATTGCTTAAAATTTAATTAATAACAGTTTTCATTAAACTGAGTACAAGCAAAGAAATAACTTTTCGAGAAAAGGATTTATTTAAAACATTTTACCCAGCACGTGATTCTTTCAGTGTAATTCACGTTTTAGCGAATAACACCCAGCTATGGGGTTTCTTTGGGGCTTTTTGTAAGCAATCAAACTACGGGCCTGCTGCCAAAATGGAAGTGGGAGTTTTGAAACAAAAGAGTGTACATGGGGATTTTGTTTTTCCGACACCGACCTAACTTCTGTTTGTTTATTTTCTAAATAATAGTGATAGAGTAACACACTGAACTTAGCATAAAATTTTTGACAATCATGTTACATCGCCCAAGTAATAATAATAAAAGAAATAAATATTACTTCATATTATTTTTTGTCCGTTCTCCGTTTAATAAAACTTCGTCCGTGTCACATTCCAGCTGGAGTTGATCACGGAGTTGCTGGGCACGCCGTCCCTGGAGGACATGCGTCACGCATGCGCAGGCGCACGTGCGCACATGTTGCGCCGCGCCCCGCGCCCGCCCGCGCTCGCCGCGCTCTACACGCTCTCCGTGCAGGCCACGCACGAGGCCGTGCATCTACTCGCACAGGTAATCATATGCTCTACGCTCTTCCAAATTCCGCCGCCCATGAAAACTCGCAAAAACAGAGTAGTTAAGAGTGCGTTTCCGACCTTTTGGAGATTAGGGATTGGGCCTCCGGTAACATCATTCACACGGGCGGCGTTAGACAACGCTGTGGCTATTGCACACCGGTTTTCTTTGAGGCCATACACACAATGCATGATACTACATCACTCCGGTCGAGCCGACCGATTTGTGCCGAAGCATTGCTCTCGCACACAAAATATATCAGAAGATGTCCTATCCTACATGATTTATAAATAGATGCACTACGATGTTTTTACTGTCCATTTCTAGTCACGGAAAGTTATATCACATCTCGTAGTCTGCTATTTATGACTAGGGTATGACGGTAGCTTAATCTCATTAGTCGTACTGGAAGGCAGTTTCGCATTATAATCGTGAGTAACTCCTTAATAATGTGTGGAAATAATATCGCTGTTTTCTGATGGATGAGGGCAGGTGTTAAGAACCTTCAGTTTTATTATCAAGATGTAAACAAGCTACTAACCACCTGGTTTTACCTTCCCCAGATGCTGGTATTCGACCCGATGAAGCGTATCTCGGTAGTGGACGCGCTGGCCCACCCGTACCTGGAGGAGGGCCGGCTCCGCTACCACTCGTGCATGTGCAAGTGTTGCTACAGCGCGCCGCCGGCCGCGCGCCACTACTCGCCCGACCTCGAGCCCGCCGCGCCACACGCCTTCCACGACGCCTGGGAGCGCAAGCTCACCTCCGTGCACCAGGTCAAAGGTACCAATGACCCACCACTGACAATACTCTCATATCTATTCTTGTGTTAAATGTTTCTGTTTCTGAAATCTGAAAATGAAAATTATATTGAGTTAAATTTCATACGCTTTTGGCATACGAAACGTATCCACTGATGGGATGCAACTGGTGTCACCCATGGACATTAACAACACTAGAGCTAAATATGCTTTACTGGATGATAATAACGATCTTTAAGATTTAAAAGATTTGGGGGTATAGGGATAGGAATTGGGTGAAGATTGAATAGCCTTCGATAAATCTTCGACTTAATATGTGTAGCTACTCGTCTAAAGACACGTTTCGTGAGCCAAGTAGATTAATTAAATTACATTCTCTTTAATCGCCTCTTCTTATTGGAACCCACAAACAAATGTTTCAGAGGAGATTCACAAGTTCATAGCGGAACAGCTGCAAACGTCTCGGGTCCCGCTGTGCATCAACCCGCAGTCCGCGGCGTTCAAGAGCTTCGCAAGGTAAGGCGCCGCCAACATCAACCGCAACCAACCGCAACCAACCGACACTAGGTGATTTCTTTGCGATACGTAACCTAACACGCCTTAGCGTACCCGCACCCCTCTGAGCCACGCCGATACTATCCTACCACACGTGTAGACAACACTGCTACACAAAAATGAATTCTATGCTAAAATTTCTTGAAGCGATATTTCAGTTTTTTGCGCTGCAACTTTGAAATTCTGCTTCATTCTTTCCAGTTATCATATTGTAGGTTTAAAGTAAAGTAACGTATAAAATATGAAGTGGTATTGATTGAGGGTTTCCAGTGTTGTCTCCACGGCTGACGATGTTTACGATAATAAAGCAGAGAAAGCAAACAGTCATCACAACTGAGTGTGGCACGGTGCGAGTCTGTTAGTGAGCACGAGTGTCGTGTTGTCGTGTACTTGTGATACCTAGCGCGCGGTGCGAGCCACGACCTCATCCTATACCGTCCCTCCTCGACGGTACTCTCGCACTCGGCCTGCGCATGACCTGTTTTACTTTTGTTAGTTCCCCGCGCTGCCAGCGCCCTCTGTACACTTGCCGAGCATATCAACCCTCTTGAAATGGTGTTATCCCGCTTCACTAGCACCGCTGTTCACCCGTACGGTAGTTTTAATTTCTGCTTTTTTGTGTGTTTTGCGACAGCTCTAGGGCGGGTTCGAAAGCAAAAGTTTGTTCCCCTTTCAAGACGGCGGCAAAATATCTACTGCTATCGCCCGTGATATTTCTGTGCGCTGCGTAGGAGCCCCGTACCGCGCCCCGTAGGTAGCCCCGTAAGCGTCCGCACGCATGCAGCCCGACCCTCGACGGCAGCGCCAACTCGCTGCCTTCGACCGTCGTCTACTTTCAAAAGGGTTGATCGTTAGATAGTGCTCGCTCCGTCCTTACGGTTCGGTTGCAGTGCATGCGTTTATTTGGCTTTGTACTCGAGTTCGGTGTCATACTTCAACACAAGTATAACCCATCAATGCTAGATGCTAATTATTATATTTTTCCGACCGAACTTAAGTACATGCCTGTTTTAATTGACTTCTTTAAAATCGACAAGAAACACTAGTATCGATTTTGAAGAAAATGCCATACCTATGGTTGAATTTGATTTTGTACGATTTAGTTGGGTTTTGGCAGCCCTAGCAGAAGTAATGTCTCTTGAAATATGAACTTTATTGCAGTGGAATAGAGTTGATATTTACACGGACGAGCTTGCGTTAGGGTTGCCTCGTAGTGCATGCGTAGAATGAGAGGTGCACTGTGCCAAGGTTGTGGTGATTTTCATTAATTTTTCAGTAGTTTCTGTAGATTTGGATTTGTGATGCAGTTCTGCTATAAGATTTCTCTTTTATTATCATAGATTTTGTTCAAACAAATGATATAATTTTGCATGTTGTTTTGTATCTTGGACTCACGAATACGGATCGAGACTTTTTTAATTCGAAATATGTATTTTTATAACTTCTTGATTAAAATGAAAGGTCGTGTCACATTAAAAAGTGTTTTGTACCATTTTCAATTACGCTTTTTTGCAATAGAACGGCAGCATAGAAATCATATACGCGATGAAAATGAAAACAGCGATAAACTCGAAGTAGTTCGTAGAGTCCAAGACACAAGCAAGTGGCGTGGGTGTGGGTTTATGTGACGACAATAATAACGCAGTGACATCAGCTCCACAGTGGCGCACCCGTCTGAGCTGCCCCCCTCCCCGCACCACTGGGAATGACACAAGCGACGCGCCCTCTACCATCTATAGCACCATCCGGCGCCAAACTCGACTCTAATCACAACGCAATAACGTCGACTATGGATCGGCAATAATTCAACGATCAGCCAACCGCCTGAATCAAGCGAAACTACATTTTAACATCGCAGTATTAGGTCGCTTCTTGTCTGGCCTCACTATGGAATGATGGTTGGCAACTTCAAAAGCGATATTTGACTTTAAGAACCACAATCTAAGGTCGTGTTATGGACTGCAATGTTAGTGAACTTGTATGTCGTTTTCTTTAAATTAAGGTTCAATGACCTTTTCAAATGAGTATGAAGGATTTTTCATTTTTAAAATGTGATTCAGTGCTGCTTTAAATAGACATTGTAATTAGATCATAGGTAAATGAAAATATGAAATATTGTGACTTCTTGGTATAAAATTAATTGTTTTATATACCAAATACTATGTCTTAGAAACTGATGTAAATTATTCGTGTCAAAAATATCAGTTATACATACTATGAAATTAATTTACGAAATCGACATACGAGTTCATCTAAACATTTTTAATGTAAACTGGTATTTGAACTCTTGAAGCGATCACAAAACATGTACAGTCAATAATCAATCCTAATTCTATAAAACAGAGTTCAAACGCCAGTCGCAGTCCACGTGTCACGTAAGTCATTCCCTGAAAACTTGATTTGCTTTTATTTTGAATTGAATAATTAAAAAAAATGTATAAATACCGCACCATACCTCATTGCTGTAACTAGAACGCGTTAAAACTTACAGACATTGCATTGTTGTAATAATGTTAAATTCGTTAACACTTCCAAACACATCTACTGTGTAATTAACTAATAGAAACGCGAAATAATTAGTTGTATTGTGAAAATATGGACAAACCGATTGACAATGGGCTTTATATTCTCAAACAAGGTAGGTTTACTACCGATTTTAATGAAAGATATAGTAGTTTAATAGTAAACGGTTATTTACCCAATTATAAAACGTGAATTTGAATCAAGCGAGCGCGCAGTTGACGTGAATGAAACAAAACAATGCGTCGCGATGTCACTACGGTAATTTTATATCATCCGATGTGAATAACTTAGCGAGTAGCCATGTATGTAGACTAGTGTATGAAGCCGGTATACTACCATTAAGGACCAGAATAGGCAAGGGAAGGGATAAAATGTTGTTCACAACACTTTTTTATACAACGAAACGTGTCGCTCGCGACAAGACGTAGCTAGACAAGGAATGAACGGACAAACTGATGGCACGGGCTGGAACACGATGGCAGGCGGCCAGGTCAACGACCCCCGCCTAGATAATACAGTAAAGAGTCGCTTCGCGTAGTAATTAGGTTATGTTTCATTTATATCCGCGATTCCATGTAAATGTAAGTGTGACGTAGTGTCAATGTGTGCCTGATTGTGTTTCTTACGGACGTTGCAAGTTGCAAGCAATAAACGTTGCAATATTATATAACGCGTATTGACATTTGATTTTATAACTATCGATTTTAATGATTTATTCTATATGTGTTTCTTTAAACTCCTTTTTAAGCCGACTACACACGACAGTTTCATACTTAAAACGGATTTCAGTTGTCTGCCAACAAGAATCTCTAGCAAAGTGTCGTGTGTAGCCCGCTTACTGTGTAAACTAAGCTTAATCCTAAACACCATTGTATGTAACATCGACTGAACATTTTTACGTAGTTAGGTTAGAATAGTATTAGATATTACAACTACTAATTTACTCGGCGATAATAATTAATGTACGAATGAGGTTCACATACTATCATCGCAGTAGTGAGATATTTTATAGCGAAGTGTTTGTAAATGTATTTCAAGCATTTAATAGATTTATTAGAGGTTTGACATTATTGTACTGGAATGTGTTAGTGTGCGTGAATATTACGTCGTTTTTGTCTAATTATTGGCATTGATAATAATATTAAATGTGTAACTACGAGGTTGGGATGTAGCCGTTCATTGTCAGTCAAAAATAAAAGAAAATATTATATCATGACAAAGAATTACGCCATTTTATGTCGATGAAATACAGACAATGCGCGACCGCATTCCTTCGTCGTATCATTCAAAATTGATGTTTCGATTTAAGTTGTAAGTATGTAACTAAGTAGTCGTACTACCCAATCACGCTGCTAACATGTACCCTAGCATAGAGGGACTTCGTGTGAATGTCGCCAGACGTCGTAGCCTTAAAACTAGTTCAAAACTATATAAAAGATAAAACATAAAAAAACTTTGTAAATAAATGCATAGTATTAATGTTAGACTAGTTTGGTATGGGATGTATTCCGATGTAGCAAGCCCACAACTAGTAGGTTGGTCTATACAGACCGCTGCACGACAAAAAAATATACATTTACACGTGTAGTACCTTTAAATAATCGTACTTCTTTTTGCTCTAAACTGTGACACTGCTTTCGAACGAACGCTAAGAGTCAATTTCTTATCGTATAAGGTTTTTTATATTAAAATTGACATTAGGCCAGAATTGTGCAGTCATAATTCTGGCCTAAATTTTTTTTAACTTAATATGTTGAGCAGCGGTTTGAATAAGACTTCGATGGTACAAAGGAGGAGTGCTTGCAATTTGCAGGTTTTAGCTGCCACACATACTCTTTATATAGTATGCATATTAATATTAATATGTAAAAAGTTGCCAAAATACAACGCAACTTGGGTACAAAATGATCTGGGCCTTTCTATCGCGGAATATTCATTATGAAAATTTTGTCCCGATGTTCTCGAGTAAATAATTACATATAACGAATACGATCCATGTTCGAGTGCGTGGCAGCTAGAACCTCGCTCGAGCCTCGACGGACCCACCTTGCCTTATCTCAGATAACTGTCACTGTGATCCGTTTACGCGTAGTTTTTGGAGCCCCGCACCCCTCACCCCGCACTATGTGTACTGTAAATACGAGTGGTCGTTAGCTAATTATCGTCATTGGTTTATTAGAAATTTGCTTAATTATATAAATGCTGTATAGGTATACGTGTCCTCCGGTCAAGACGTTGATTGTATGTAAATAAGGATATAGTACGTAGGTGAATATTATCTCAGTAGTTGCGGAGTGGATGAAATTGTATAACTCACTGTAAATGGAAAATATTGTACTTGATTAATGAAATCTGAAGAGATGGTGTATGCATATTTGATCCACACGTCTGCGACTCGTGGCCGTCACGGAGGACCTAGTCTTGCGACTAGCGGACAGTATTGCGGCGCCTAAACGAACACGCTTCTTATTTTATGTAATTGTACGTATTGCGTTTCCAGACTTTCAGAGATCTCGTATTATTTTAAGTTTTAAGTACACGACTGTTCATTTTACACAAGTGATCTTTAGTTGGTAGGACAACACGTTTGTATTCTTCTTTGTACCCCGCGGCCAGTCAGCCAAGGCTTTCTCTTAATTTTAAGTAATCGCACACTCGAATGCGCCCGCGCACGCGGCCTGCTTCGCATTATCTTTAGTTTCGTGTAAATACTAGTGGTAAAGCGGTAAGACTTAGTTTTCGTGTTAACATTAGATCGCGTCATTTCTTAGTTTGTGTTCAATAATCCCACATTAATTTTTGTATTATAATAATTTCCACAATATATAAAAAAGTAAAAAAAAACTACAAAATATGAAAATTGTATTGTTCGTTTTATGATTATGACATTTGATTTAATTACTATAATTACCAGTCGTAATGTAAATAGTACTTTGTGCACTGATAGTCTGTTTAAGTTAACTTTAGATATTAATGAAATGGCTGTATTGATTCTGTTTATGTATAGTAGCCCCAACAACGTTCACTATAAGACTTAGTAGAAATGTTTCCTTTGCGGTATTGTCCCTTAACAATGTGTAATGTATAGTTATGGTTTTAGTTAACATTTAGTATTGTGATTTAGTTTGTTCATTCAGCGACCCAGAGACAATGTAAATGTAAATATATGATACGTGTTTCTGTCCTGTACGGAGTTAGTTGCATTTTACCATTGTTGCGAACTGCCAAAACTATTGTAATAATTTTGTAGCGCCGCACGTCACTGCACCACATTGCCACACCGCCGAATGAGAGCGATGGAAATTTTGATCTAATTATCTTCCATTTTACTTAATGACGATTGATTTTAGTGATTTGTGTTCTGTATTTGCTCAAATTGCTATAAATATTGCCTCTTAATATTTTTATCAGAGTTTCTGTCAGTTCTATGTTCTTTTTAGTACAGTATTTGTATTTCGTATGTAATTAGAATGTGATGCTTTGTGGTGAGTGGCGTGTGTGCGGGTAGTGAGCCGGGGTAGCGACGGACGCCCGGCTCGCGACACTGTAACAATAAACTACTGCATAATTAAACTCAAATCTTTTATTTTACTCCTAAACTAGAAGTAGATTCCTTATTCCTATTATAAAACCGATATGTAAAGGTTTAATAACATACCGGCTTAGACTCACAGATTCTACGTGTCATCAGCCTGACTGCTGAGCAAAGGTGTTTTCTCACTCTGAGAATATTAAGCACTACGCTTACCCAAGGCGGATTGGCGATTTGAAACTTATAATGATAAAGATAAATGAATATGGTTGCCCTCACGATGTGTTTAAATATACAATAAGTGTTTAAATAACACAAATTGTTGTGCAGCAACCATTTGCCCAGTGACTGCGCCAACCTTGTAATTGAGGCCTCGAATCCTGTAACCTGAGACTCATAACAAACTGGTGAAAACCAAAAAAGTTCTTAAAGTAAGTTACTAATATAAGAACCATTACGGAAAAATTATAACGTTCGTTAGGTCAAATAGATATCAATAAGGTCAAGAGTAAGTTCTAACTTGTTGACTTAGGCTAGATGCACAAGCCGGGGTTGCGGGGCAAGCGCAATAAGGCCTAGAGCAGGAAAAGGAACGGAGGGTTTTCAGACAGTAGGTAAACCTACCGCCTCGACCTGGGAGGGAGATGTCATTTGATAGTATTCCCCTCACAAAAAGGTACTGCGCAACATGTCGCGGATGCCATTACCGCAAGTAATCACACCATGATCTACCAATTGCTATCCCAGGCCTGGGTGTGATGTGTATGTTTGATTGTGTATTAATTTGTAAACGCACCCACGACACGACGAAAATACTATTGTGGAGCAGGGTTATGTTATGAATTCCATGTAGGTAGGTAGGTACCTAGGTACTAAAGAGCTTTACCATCGTTGTCATTTGCCGATTGTTAACCAAAATCTTAATAGCCCTTAGATTATTATCAATACTACACAAAAAATTAGGGTCTTTAAGAGTTGCTTGTTGAGGTTCGTAAGTTTAATCCACTTTCGTGTTTTCGTTATGAAACTGCTACATGTACATGTAACTAATGCAGAAGCAACAAGAATAAAATTTGATGTCGTACGCTTGAGTCTAGTTCTGTTCAAGCGGCGAGCTACCTTTCGCCATCCGCAGGAGGATACCTCTCTCAAGCTCTCTGCCTCGTTCTTTGCGAGCGCCAATGTTTCGCAGAAAGAGGAGCCGACTTCCCAGTTTCTCTCGCTCCGCACCATTGCCCCGACAAAGGTCAGACGCGAGAGGTTGCCGTCGCCGATCACTTCCCTGAGGACACGGCGGTGCTCAGCCCTAACGATGCAATTACCGTGTCCTCTATGCACAATCAGTATTAGGAGGACTTAATGCTTTAGGTATTTTCTACCAGTCGAGCTTTGTTCTTACTCCGAGCAGTCGAGCCTTGGATGATGCAGAGAGATAATGCTAAATTTTCAAAGAAGTAGAAATGCCCGATCTGTTTATGATTAACAAGAAATGACGCACGACGAGTCAGGAGCGCTCTGGGAAATCCATAGGTTCCGAGTTTTGATAACATTGATAAATACAAAATTAACTAGTTAACCGACCCGGATTCGTTACTTTTCAATAAAATAGGATATTTGACTGATGTTACAAGGTTGAATTAAGTCACAGTAGTTTGCTTTCTTATCGTGTTCAAGGGGATCCCTGTTCCAGCAAAAACTGGGTGCTATTTCCCAACGCATTTTAGTAAATTTTGTTCCATATCGAACCATAACATACCTACGCAATAGAGAGCTGGAGGTTTTGGTTGCAAATTCAATAAAGTACCGCGGCTCCGGCCTGACAGAAGTAGCGCTTTTTAGTCAGTAAAATACTGACCTCCGTCTCGCCCCATGCAGTGTCACAGAAGTAACTTGAAATCCCTTAAAAAACTTCTACAACAAAAATGAATTAGGGGAATGTGCCACATGCGTTAACCAAAGAAAATGGAGATTATTTTTTATATATCGTTTTTATATACCTAAGTATGAAGATGAAGAGACTGATGTTTTTGCTTTTATTATCTTTATTACTTGTATAGGTAGTTAGTATAATTATAAATAATATAGTTATCATTAGTCTGGAGTTGTTTATACCTAGCGCATCTCGAGAGAAGTCGTTTCTGTAGATATTCGTTAAATATTTCAAAATGAAGAATTGCGTTGTTTTAGTGCTCTGTTTAATATTCTGTAAGTACCTACAGTTCTTTTTTATTATTACGCAGAAAATAATAATATTTAGGTACTTTTACAATTCCCATATTCAAAATCCCATATATAAAATCCTTGGTCTATTTAAATTACAAATTTTTGTTTTTAATGTTATGCTAATTTGTTTATTTCGTTTTGACACTAAGTAATCAGTGACAGAATACAACAAAAAAATGTATCCGGAGGACACCTATGAACAAAATACTTGCAATATTAAAAAATCTATATCGATTTTATTTCACTAGCATTACAGAAAGAAAACCTAGCCTTAAAATAAATAGATTTTTTTTTTATTATTTTATGCAATCATTTCTAAGCGCCTTAAAATCTACCTTAATAAATCATCGGACATTAGCGAAATTAACACGATGTATGTAGATGTGAGAGTACCTCAAAATATAGGCTAATTTTTAAGGTGGTAACTCATATAAAGCCGGTTATAAAGTTACTATGAAATATCTAAAACAATACACATACACACAAACTATTCGAGCATACTCGCTTAGTTTCAACCTACGAACGGGGTCCAAAATCATAAGTAGGTAACTACTGACATTACACAGTAAACTGTCTCACGATAGTTTTTATTGTACAATCTGATCTCGAGTTCAAGTACTTATTTAATAGATAAATGGGAGACACAGGGAAGGGAAGTAAGCAAATAATGAAAGCTATGGTCAAAACAAATTAATTAAATATATCTGTAGGTATATTGAAAGATAGCGTCCGTATGAGACTGTGAACTTTATATCTATAAGCGTCAATTGTGATTCATAGTTTACGAGTATTTTATATAATTAAACTATCTATCGACTAATAAGCAGATGTTTTTGTTTTTATACAAATATATTATTTCATGAATTGATTACATTATTAGTATAACAAGCGCAGGACTGGACAGGTTATGATATTGGTTTCAGAGCAGGGTCAAGTTTATTTAACTAAAAAAATATATGAATTTTTAAACTGGGTAAATCGTTTTTTCCTGTTTTTTATATTTCGAGACTTTTATACAGATTAGATGCCAGTCTCATCCCATCGTATCTTATAATCTACAAAAATCTATAATACGTAGTATTCCAAAACAGAGAAATCCCATAATCCTATTAGTATTTTTTTAACCCCACAGCATCTTCAGAAGCGCCCCCACCACAAGTCAGCAAGCAATACCGAACAGACTATGAATACAATAGAAAAACAGATGCGTTTTACAAGCTCCATATTGAGACGACCCCACATTATCTCGTGGAGCAACTGTGCAAAGTAGAAGGAGCCGAACTTATGGTCCCACGTTCAGACTACGACATAGAACAAATGCATGGCATGTTCAAGAAGTTCCCTGATATTGGGAACTATGTGTGGGTTGGGAATGATGGGAAGAATCACGAGTCTGCTGAAGAAGTTCCTATCATTGATCGTAAGTATTTTTTTATCGTGACCAATGACGTATTATATATAGACACGTCATGAACCAACATCGCGGCGCTTAAAAACGGCGAAAATACTAGATAACTACTTCTACGAGTAAAGAAAGGGAAAGAAAATATGACATCGTATAGTTGAATGCCTTTGCTAGAGGGAGATAAATATACATCTTCAGTTATGCCGACGGCACGTGACTATACCTTCATGCGCCGGCCGCCATAAGATGGCGGGCGCCGGCGTCGAAAAAAATAAAATAAAAATAGGTTGTTTGGTGAACTTACGCATGAAATGACACATTTTTGTCTTTAACTTTTGGAGTATAATTTGTACATCGTCTGAACACACACGACGACATGCTTTCTTTGTGTTTCGCACAGGTTTACACACGATATAAATTAAAAACAAACGTAGCGTCGCGCGGCAGGTTGGTGCGTAACTAAGCGCGATGTTGTCAATTGCCTTCATTTCATGTTGTCATTTTAGAGCGCGGACAACGTATCTATAGTTTTATACATCATTGATCGTGACCCTTTAGTTTCATATTCTCCTGGTTAATACGTGCGTTTATATATATTAACACGTTAACCGCCACGTAGGTAGCGGAGGATGTGCGTTCAATATTAAAATCGGTCGGCAGTCAACGGCTCTAACTACTTTTAGACTCTAACTACCTACTTTTTAGATTTAGTTTTTTTATTTAACGTTTTATTTCTGTTTAAATAAAACGTTGCCCCACACTAGGATTCTTTCTCTGTCTGATTTACCTGTCTCGTTAATCAATCTGCTTCAAGTGCAACCGGGTTGGCAAGCACCGATGTGACTTTTTTCGAGTAACATATACTTTCTGAGATTATTTAGACACCACTGACATACGGTATAGGAAAACATCGTGAGGAAACCTGGACTTATAATTTTTAATTATAAGTTTAAAATCGCCAATCCACCTTGAGTAAGCGTGGTGACTAATGTTCTAACTTTCTCCGTGTGAGAGGAGGCCTTTGCTCGGCAGTGGGCACTTAAAGGCTGATGATGTGATTTATATACATTTAACGAGTACGCAGTTCAAATTAGACTACAAGTATACTCTTCACTTCTGATTTAACACTCGATTTCGGGATCTACTTCAATGGTAATTAGTCGGAGCAAATAATTACTTACAACTTAGTGTATACTTGATTAGCTACCTAATATATTAATAGTGTCTTTAACTATCGAGGTTATGGTTCACTGGCACCGCGTTTCATATTTGGATGCTTCATTAACCACAAAATTATTGATACTATCATCACTAATTTGACATTTAAAGTTTGGTTGATTATAATATATCTCTGAATATAAAGCTAAGAATAGTACCTAATTGAGTATTTCTACTTTCTACTAAACAATATACAGGTATTTTTGACACGCCAATAAGAATACTTATAATAGTCAGTCAGTCTGCTCGACATCGAGTCAAACTTGTGCTCGTTCTAAAATGAAGATTCGAATGTAGAAGAATGAAGAAGAAATTACATTGTTTCTTTCACAAAAAAATGGCTTTTTTATGTAAAATTCGGGAAACGAGTTGACGGATTACCTGACGATAAGCAATCAGCGCCGCCCTTGGACACCTGCAACAACAGAGGAGTTACGAGTGCGTTGTGAAACTTTTGGGGATTTGGAGATTTAGAGATCGGGGGAGGGGAAGGATTGGGCCTCGCGTAACGCTGTGTGCTGTGAGGTGTTTCACGGCGGTTTTCCGTATGGCCTTGGTAACACTCCGGTCGAACCTATCTTCGGCACCAATGCCGAATCATGGCTCTGCCACAATGTATGTTTTAAAATCTCATCAATTACATAATTTAATACAATATCGTATATACTTAAGTGAGAACAATGCAGAGATGCAGAGAATAAGCTGTTACAATCCAAACTATCAGTTTTAGGATTAATTCCAATTTTACTATCAGTTCGCCAGAAATTGGTACCTTTGTATGTCTGAAGATGATTAGGAAGCTCCAGAGTGATATTGACTGCCTATTATTATATGAATACGGTAACAGCTCCAATAATAATATGTTATTTATAGATATTTAGGTCCCAATTTGTAAATTGAGAAGGAACGTGGAATTTGTTCGATAAAACTCAATCATGTCACGGAGAGGAAAGTGCTGTACCTACCTATATGACAAAACATATGTTTACGTATGTGCCTATTTATAACACTTTTATATGTGTATAAATATAGTGTTTTGGGGTAAGCTCTATAAGGTACCGCGGCCTCGGCCTAGAGCAGGAGAAGGACCGGGGGATTGAGTTAGTAAAAGTCTGTCTCGCCTTATTTTGGACGAGGGAAGCCAAACTGATGATTTTCCCCCTTCAATAAATAAAAGTTGCCATTATGAGACTAGTTATAGTAGCTAAAGTTGCGCGGAAGCCCGTTATCCAGTAAATAAGTGTAAGATACCCATACTTGAGCACAACTAAATAATAGGCTGGCCCGACCAGAGTTAGCCGGGGCTGCGGGGTAAGCGCAATGAGGCACCGCGACCTCGGCCCAGAGCAGGAGAAGGAACGGGGGGGTTTTTAGTCAGTAAGAGTCTGACACTCTCTCTCGCCCGACCAGAGTTCTACCACGGCCTCGCAGAAAAACAACACTCAATTGTGTTACGTGTGAGTAAAGTTACCGGTGGTCTTATCCTTCTCTCCCCATCCTTAATCCTCAAATGCCCTATTTTTAAAAAAGGCATTTTTCCAAGCAACCCAGAAAAGGCCGGCAACGCGCTTGTCACTCCACATGTCTTCATGGGAGGCGCCCATTGCGCACCATCAGGGGATCCGTCAGCTCGTTTGCCGACCTATACCAACCTATCGAACATAAGTGACGAAATTTCGTTTCTGTTTCGATACAAAAATTAATTGACTGTCTGTTTTTATTTCAATTTGTATTTTTTTAGCAGTTGATCTTCCAATAAATAATACATTTTCTGTATTTACAGTGGAGGAGCCACCGAATTTTTCAGAGAGATTCGGATCATGTGTAGTAGGCACGAGGAATGGTGATGTGGAGACGTCAGTGTGCTACCGAGGGCTGCCATTCATATGCAAAGTGTCGGCCATGGACGCGCCTTACGACCGACACTGCAATGTTTATGGAAGAGGTCAGTCAAAATAAAATAAAATAAAATAAAACAACAACGGTTTGAGTATGAGCTCAATTTAATGAATAAGATTACCCAAAAACAAAAAACTGTCTCATTAGCCAAATTATCGTTGGTTTGCGGATGCAATTATGTATCGTGACCCCGGTCCGGAGCAGGAGAAGAATCTGACTCGACCCAATCAGGGCGGGTCAAGCAATTTGATGATTACATCCCTGCCAAAAAAATTAGCTTTTTTATTTTGAAAAATTAGAAAACAATATCTTATTATCTTGCTTATATTATAAATGCGAAAGTTATAATGTTTGGATGTTTGTTACTCAATCAAGCCAAAACAGCTGAACGGATCGGGATGAAATTTGGCACAGGCATAGTATACACTCCGGAATAGGACATGGGATACTTTTTATCAACATACCACGTGGGCGAAGCCGCAGGTGAAAGCTAGTTAAATCATAACATGCACAACCACCATTATTTCTCCTATGTTAATTTATCTCCAGATTACAAATACTATCCATCCACCCGGAGCTGCTATAAGATCCCTAGCATAGCGTTCCCTTGGAGTGAAGCTTACTCAGAGTGTCAGGCAGAGGGCGCTCACCTCCTCGTAATGAACTCCGAAGCAGAACACTTGGCGATCATGAACCTTACAAGTGCAGCCCCCAAGGTCCGCGGAGCCAAAGCGTCCTACTTCTTCTTTGCTGGCTTCAGAGCTGAGAAACCCGTTGGAAATGCCACAGTCGTGTTTAAAACTATATTCAGTAAGTCGTTTTTATCATTTTCTTTTATAATGTGTATTATCCAAATGTGTATTATCCATCTCAAAAAATACTGATAAATATTCACAATTAGTTTATTAATTCATCAAAACCCAAGCGAAGTCTGGCGTTCGCGCAACTATTGTTTTACTATTTTATCTTGAATTACCACTATTGAAAGGTTAATTAGATATCTTGAAATCGTCTTAACCGAAGGCAGCACATATTATAAAATAAATATGTAACAACCATATTTTACCGGTAATGTTACGAAATTATTAATCCCGCGCATGTACTGTTATAAATAAACAATGTTAATGTTGTAAGGAGAGTCATTATGGATTCACTTATTCTCAATTCCACATTCAGTATTGAGACTTATACATCGCCTTGCGTGACTGACCTCATCCTTAAATTAATAACTTTAATTAATTTTCCAGATGAAACACTATCCCAAGCAGGCTACGAAAACTGGTCGGATAACGAACCCAACAACTCGAATGGCGAATATTGTGGCTCCATCTTCCTGAACGATGGCAAACTAAACGATCTCCACTGCCACGATACTTTTGCATTTATCTGTGAAAAAGAGGTTTCATCCTGAATTGTTGACTCAGAAATTTGGTTTTTGTATAATTAGTATCATGAGCCATATTGACTTACTTAATTTAATTCATAATACAGTATACTTAGGTAACTATGCGAGGTTGTTATTCTAGTTTGACATATTATACAACTTGTGCAGTAACTGACATGATTATAGGCCCCGGTTGTGGTTCGAATCTAATCGAGCAACCTCGACAAGTTACGTAAGTAAGCCATTATTAGGTCACTTAAGTGGAATATGGGTTGTTTGAAATATGGAATAAAAGTATTTATTTATAAGGTACGCATAGTAACTTAAGTATGGATTATAATTTAAATTAATATCTTTATTGTGTCAAAACATTCATCCGCATTGATTTCAATGGGGAAAGTAGCCAGCGGGCTGGCATCATTGCTACGCTATTTGGCAATGGTCACCCTATCTCAGAAGAAAAAAATTAAATCAGAACTCAGAGGGCCTACCATGACGTGTTAAAGCGTCAATTTTCCGAGCGAGAAAGAGGGATGGAGCTATAAATAGTTCCATCCCTCTTACTCGCCCGGATGATTAACGCTTTAACACGTCATGGTAGGCCTGTCGGTCAGGATAAGCGTCGATCAGCCAGTTCGCATCAGGCGTTTTCAGTTTGTAGACATTCAGTATCACTTCACATCATCAGCCTATAAGTGCCCACTGCTAAGCAAAAACCTCTTCTCACGTGGAGAAGATTGGAGCATTAATCACCACGATTGCTCAAGGCGGATTGGCGATTTCAAACTTATAATAAGAAATTATAAGTCCAGGTTTCCTTGCAATGTTTTCTTTCAGTTATGTATAAATAATCATAGAAACATACATATACTTAACTCGGAAAAAGTCACATTAGAACTTGCCAGGTTTTAAACCCCATGCATGACAAGCGGGCGCCTCAACCTGAAAATAATTGGTCAAGTAATACACGTCTCAATGTATAGAATAAAAAGAAAACGGATCATCTTATGGAAAGTGATGAACACCAGAGAAATTATGGACACGTTGCTAGCATTCTAAAATGGAGAACGATCGTAAAGGATTTTTTTGGGTTTGAAGGTCGTATCGATTCGGAAATACCGCCAGCGAATGAACATCGTAAGTATATAGGTAACATTATTGTTTTAAAAACTTATCTTTATTTTCACAGCATAAATTTATTTCCGTAGCCTTCAACATTTACCCATTTAAAAACCTAAAACATAATGCTGACCCTATTTTCAATTCGAAAATAACATTTTATCTTTAACTATTAAATCATTAATTATCCCGCTCACGTAATTTCAACTACGAATGTTATTCATGGAAAGCCAGCCATTGTGCTCAGTAAGCATTGTGGATGAAAATCTCACAAGCATAAATGAAAAAACAAGTTTTCACGAATGAATGGCAAATATTATAATGACTGTGTTATTATCATAACAGAAGGCCAGATCACAGAATGCCAGATCACAGAATACCGAAAAACGTTACGTAGGTACAATTTAAAAGCATTTTTTCGTGCGTGAAACTTAAATTATTTCCATGAAATCGATTCAAGAATACGATCCAATAATGTAGTCCTTAATAAATAAAACATATGGCAATAAGAATTGAATTGGTAACAATTCCGAATATTGAAAGTTTAAGTGAGAACTAAAGAGTAATTCCAGTGTAAGGAGACGCCTACGAGTTTATTTCTGGAATAGTCTGGCCCTTAACGACGTATTAACGAGCCAGAAACATGTTGGAACATGTACATGTTTTGAACCATACACAGAAAATCCATCATGGCCGCATAACTGGACTGGTCCATTAACAGTCGGCGGGCCGTCCTAATTGAACCACTCTAAACAGTTAATCTTTCTCGTGTCGTCTAAATAAGATTTAAAGTTAGCTGGACCCTTGTAATTTCCTTTATGTTAGCGGTAAATTGAAACATATACACGCACGTACATACTTGTACATAACAAGCCATACTCCGAATGTGCTTAATTTACTTTCTCAGCCCCTCGCGTTAACGTTTCACAAATTTAGAAAAGTTTGCCTTATAATTATGTAAAGATTATACCAAAATATCGGTGAATTTTGCTATGGAAGGTGGGCTAATTAATTTTATGTTTTACCTTTAAACAAATAATTTTGGTACCTGTTTCGGAAGTTATCTAATTACATAGCTACTCATGTTGGAGGGCACAGCATGAAAATCAAAAATTAAAATGGTAAAAGTTTTTTTTTGTTTCAGCACAACAAAACATTGAAAAACCAATAAACAATTAAATATTAGGTGTCCTGATAAACTCAATATTATTCTGTACAAATAAAAGAAAAAAAACGTAGAATTTCAGCAAAATATAAATAAATTTCGAGAAAAAAAATGTCTTGAGAGTTGTCATCATTTTCGTGGCTTGTCTGTTCAGTCGGGAAATCGGTTCTTTCATTATGTCTAGGCCGGAGACCAATGTGACATGTTCACGAAGTAAATCGTCTGTCATATGAACACTTGAGAGATAAGATGCTGATCACGCACAACCAGGAGATGAGTTATAGTGGTCACGATGACTTGAACATTGAACAACTATTGTGATGCGCGACGGATATTTCTTCGTCAAGTTTCCTTTTTGTGTAGTTGGAAAGGAGGCCGGTATTAATGTTATTATTGTTTATTCATTTATTTGCTTATAAATATTTACCTTATTGCACACATTTAAAAATCAACAAATAAGAAAAGGGTATTAAATTTTAAATTTATAGAGCTTTACTATACAACCAAGGGAACAAAATCATCCTGTGTGATAAACCTGTTTTTGATTTGCTCCCTACAACATTTATTGTTTTTTACTTTATTTCTTAAGATATTATATATTTTTTTTATATTGTATACATATCAAAGTTATTAGTATGTCATAACTAGCTTTGAACTGTCCTAATGAATGTTGAGATTCTATTTTTTAAAGTCTCGGTCCAAGAGTTTTTATTCCAAGCCTGTAATAATATACGCAAACAATTTTAATTTTAATTATTGCAAAAAATAACAAAAGTCACTGTTTTGCCAGGACCCTCAATTTGCGGGTATCCGGAGTGTGAAATTCGCTTCACTCCACAAAAACGGAAGGTGTTACAATAAGCACCGTTATAGGAAATTCTTGGGGTATTTACCCAGATTGTATCATCCGATGTATGTTGACCCCTAGATATTGTTTGGCGTTCGACACCGTTCGACTGTGAAGGGGTCAGGGTTGGTTGGTTGTGTTATAATGATTTCCTCGACACAATAGGGCAGCGGAGCGGTTTGCCGTTCTAATTATCGTTGTTAAGAGTTTCACTCAGTCATAAGCTGGAGTTTCATTCAACAATGGTGACACGTTTCATTTTCATTGTTCGTTAATACGGCCGCAAACTTCGACTTGATTAAGATGGGCGCCGTGCACACCGTACCGTAAAGTTGGAACGCGACGAACGTTAATGAGAGTCGTCGAGCGTCTTGGAGAGCCTCCGACTGTTAAAGTTCTAGTTATTAATACATACAGTTTTCTCAAGTTCGTTTATGTGCTGGAACCGTGCAGTTAGTGTGATAACGGCTTTCGGAACGTCGGAGGTAATGTATGCGGCGGTATGTGATTTTCTCATTTCACGGTTCGCTGTTCTAATTTACTGTGTAACAGGTAGCCATATTTTGTGAATAATAGCGCACCATTCATTGTAAGGTTGTGAACAAAAACATTATTTCTTATATCTTCGTCAACGCGTCGGGCTCGCATTTTTGGGGCAAAAATAATTAGATACATTGTGTTTCCTCTGATATGGTGTCAGTATATAAGCTTAATCCTAATAATATATGGATAAGGAGAATTATATGTGTCTAGCTTATTGATAAACAGATAATATTAGAAAACAGATGTAACTTTTTATAGTGGGTATTTCAAAATTGAACCTTATTGTTGAAATATAAATTTTAAGATTACAATACAATTTACCTTCTTTTTTTAGTTAGGTCGTTTAAGTGTAACAATAAGTGTAACAATACAATCTGAAATTTTCAGTTTATTTATTAAGGATAGGATATATTACATTGTGGCTGTTTTTAAGGAGCGCGTAAAGATTTGCATTGATAAAATGCGTTTTGAGAGTTGTCTGGACTGTTTTATGGAACAGGGGCAAACGATAAGACAAATAAATGGTACATTCATGGATCCTTGCAACAATTGAGGAGTTACAAGTGCGCTAGCTGTCAGCTTTATAAAAAGACCTTCAATTTTTTAAGGCAGCTTTAAAGGACTCGGCATCCTAAATTAGTTAAAATCAGTATAAAGATATATAAAAACTATCACAAACACAAAGAATAAACATAAATCAATCATTATAAAACCAAATCTGTCGATAGGAAAATACGAAATAGTTTTTTCAGAATTTTCCCAAATTAGATTGCCAGATACAAAAATACGGGGTGTGCGTTGTCATGTCATTGTCTCAGGTTATTGATGAGGTGTCGATTCGAACAGTTTGCCACCTGGCAACATCAATCACAGCTCTAATCAGATCAAAGCCTCTCAGCCTACGACATTGACTGATTCTGGTTTTTCCATCCTCCGTGCTAATGTAGTAATGCTTATTACAATTGTGGTAATTACCAGTGGATAAGTTAACCCATAAGCTGCATCATTTTTGTCAAAATACATGGACCGTTGCCAAAACAGAATCCAGTTCTCCAAAATGCACTGACAGTCAGAAACTACGGCATTTGTTGAACTTTCTTTATCAACTTATTTATACATAATAAAGTTATCGTGGAAGATCTATTCAGTATTCAGTTATGAATTATAAATATGATAGATAAGTAGAAAAAATGTTAAATTGGCCTACGACGTCGCGGGTGTAGCAATGTAGCGGTCACTACTACGGCGTAGCAGTTTCGTAGCGATAATTCCTATCAGGCTACGAGAACGTAAAATGAGCCTGCATAGTCTGAGTGGGTCATAAAAAGTATCACCAAATGGATTACTAGGGTATGGCCACTTATAGACTTTATGCACTTTCAGTCTATAAAGTAGCTACATAATATTGATAGAAGGCTTCCCAGGCTTCCGATATAACTTAGTACTCAACGTGCATGCATTTTCGATCAGGAAATGTTACTAGAGTGTATTGAATAGGATTTTATGGGTATTAAGCATGAGGTTCTAGGTTTATTCTTCGATTCGGGAAAGTTTTACTGGGATTTTCGTTAATGGTATCACTTAGGAATTTAGAATTGAATCTGTTGTGGAAATGGTACTACTCCTTTATCATCTCCTTAGATGATAGACATATTTGTGGAATCATCACCATCGCCGATTGTCTGTGACAGTTCACTGCTTGGACTAGGCTTTATAAGAGGACCCCGCTGGCCAGGAAGGTTGGAGCGCTGCTGTCTGAATTCAATGTAATGTGTTTTTTTATTGTGCTACGTTTTATCGCCTTTGGATAGGTATAAGTGCATATAATATGCACGTAACTTTACAAACACATTATATACCCCTTTAATCTAGAATCTATAATAATATGAGGCCCATATGGGGGTTATAACTTTATAAGCCTCATCCATCTCATCCCATACACTAGGCCCAATACCTCCACCGTGCTATATAACTTAGTAATTTCCGGAATTGAAACCAAGATCTCTTGCTCAGCAGTGTAGTATGTGTTTAGTTACCTGTTTATGGTACCCACGCGAAGAGTAGGGGCGCTGACATTACTCTATCTGCAGTCATACGCCAGAGTTGGAGCTGTAAAAGGCCGTGAAAGTGAGCTATTATCTAGTTCACTTTCAAGAATAAAAAATGTGCTTTGGAAAAACCCCGATAATTTCAATTCTATTACCTAATTCAAAAGAAAAATGTAAGTCTGGCTTCAATCAAATGCCAATCGTTTTGTACTTTGAAACGAAAGTGGAATTTTTATCGACAGAATATATTTTAGAGATAATATAAATCAAGTGGTATTATATTACTAGGTATTTTTATCTGTAGCGAGTGATTCGACAGTGGGGTTAAGCTTGTAAGAATTAGTTTTATGTCTAGCGTTCTGTTAAGGTATTTTACATAGCAAAAAAACTACTTAAATGCTGGTTAGTTTTAACAGTTTTATTACATCTATCAGCGAGATATATTTTATTTTAAGTAAATAAGGTTCTTTTCCAATTGACAAGAGTTGAGTGACCTCACGAGGGATGTTACTCATCTAATTTTTCGCGCTAGTTGAGGCTAGTGGGAGTGTCAGACTCTTACTGACTAAAATCCACCTTGTCCTTTCTCCTGCTTCGAGCCCTTGGAACCGGAATCCCGGCTGGAAATTGGCTCTTTAGGGCCATATCTGTGGTGGTCTGATGACCCGTGGAACACGACTCCCGTACGCTCAGTTCTGGTTTTCTGCGCGCGGTAACTTACCCGCGTTCGCCATCCGCAGACATGTGCTAACAGTGAGCAGAGACCGTCTTGCGGCTCCCGACGACCATAGTATCTCCTGCACCGGCTGGGGCGTGAGGAGTTCTTGCTCTGCACCATAGCCTGGAGCTAGGCCGGGCGTGAGAGGTTGCCGTTGCTATGCTGGCAACTGGCATCTGTGATTAACAAAGTGACAGAGATGTGATGTGCCAAAAAAATTATAAAATTGTACCAGACTACTTGAAAAAAGCTATCTGTCAAAAGGTGTCCAAATCATTTCTGCTTACTCTCAGGAAGCAGCTGCAATAGTGTGGTGAAAACATGGCCACCGAAGATTCAGTGTACAAGCAATATCAATCATAGCCTTTCGAAGCCTCTTCCTTTCAAGCTGAAATAAATAAGGCTTTCACATAAGAATATTATTGAAGGCCGGACTACCCTTCCGGTGTCTGCCGGCTTTTGGGAAACATCAATAGAAAATATATGAATCAAAGAACAATTTATTTGTTTGTGAATGGTATGGTGAGTGGGTGGGATTTTAATTGATGAACCTCAACTTACATTTATCTTAAAAAATAAGTGATAACGATAGAACAGTTGATTTAGCTAAAATTTTTTCGTATTAATATTTTTTTTAAAGGGAATTAAGCCGTTATTCTCCTAATTTATTTATTTAGCACTTTGTATAATATATACAATGGCGGACTTAATGCTGAATGGCATTCTCAACCAGTCGACCGTAAGGGTTTTACGTAAAGGTTGTCCCTGCCCTAGAATTTCTTCCTGTGTCTTGGGTGCGCCTTAAATCATTTATGTTTAATAATACATTCAAATCTGTTACACTCACTCCTAGAACACATACGTACGGGCTCCAAGACAAAACTAAAAAAATATAGAAGTTTTGAATAGACTCCTCGCTCCACGAAAAAATAATGAGAATAGCTTTTGATAATAAGTTTACAAGACAAATACATTCCATTTTCCGTATCCTATAAGGAATCCCTATTCTGATATTTTGGGGTCAGTAGAACTCATTCTTCGAATGACCAAAATATGCAATCGAGTGGAATTCTTAGATAGTTTGACCACTACATACTTTTAAATATGTATATATATTTGTTATAGGTATGCTCATTTAATATTGAGACGCAATATAAAAAAGGTTCCGTAATATTTATTCAATGATTCTCATCGTATTGTTAAAGGGCAACCATTTTGGTTTCTTTGTGTAATAAATATAGATGTTTATTTTATTTATTTTGTGAGTGATATAACCTTCTATATTTCAAGTGGGAGAGCCAAGCTTCAGTGTGGATGTGTCTGCTTGGATTGATACCACGACCGCACAGAAAATCAGCGTGCAATAACCATAGTGTTATGTTTCGCTATGTGAGTTTGGAACCGGAGGTCCAATTCTTTCCTCTGTACTCCTCCATCCTCAATCTCGAAATCCCCAAAACGCTTAATCCTCAAAAGGCTTGCAACTCACAGCCTGCAATTCCTGTCGTATTGTGGGTGTCCATGTGCGGTGCAGATTGCTTACCATCAGGTGTTACAAATGCTCGTTTTCCGCAGTAGGTATCAATTTTTTCAAAATAATGTTATTTCTAGATAGAGAGCAGAAGCGGGGCAATACTTTCTAGTATAACTATAATTTGACTTTTTGGTGAATGCCAAGTGGAGACGAAAGATAGAAAAATAATTTATTCGCGTCTAGGGCGCACATAAGACACAACAAAAACAAGTGTATAAACATAAAAACAAAAAAAACACATGGTAATACAATTTAAAAAATAGTTATTAATAAAAGGAAAAATATGCGTCACAAGCACACACACACCTTCGCTCGGCATATGCGAGACAGTGTCGCAGCGCTGATTGTCAGCAATGGCCGACAACTAACATTAAAATTTGAAGTACAGAACAGAATATTTTTTATGCCGCTTCTATTCTTCCGGGTATCATAAGAGACGATTAAGAGTTATACTGTTCAAAATAAAAACATAATTCATACTCCAGGTTGTGTCCGTATTTACATGAAAAACTGAGTATATTTAAATACGTAGGTACACTTCAATCGGCACACCCCAATATGATGTGAGAGCTTCCTAAGACCCGTGGGAGAGACCGTGTGACGAACAGACAGTGTGTTTATATTTATATGTATATTGAATATCGAAATACATTAACAAAATAAATATGAGAGAGCCGCCCAAGCGAGTGGCATTGCGTTAATACCATTTTATACTTCATTTTTATCTCGGATTCTGTGATTTCGATTCTATAGCTTTGGCTTTTTTCCGAATCAATTTCTTGTTATTTTCAAGTGGTCACAAGGGCTCTGCAGAGCTAGAGGTCTTCGGCCGGTTTCTCGGACGGGCAAATTATGACAATTTACTAGAGATTAATATTTTAACGTATCGAGTTGCAAAGGACAGAGAAAAATAGAAATCTTTTGAGTATTTATATATTACATTGTCGAAAGACACGGGTGATAATTGCAAGAGTTTGTTGCAAAAAAAAATGCCCGAGCGCCGATAACTTAGGACAATATTTAATATAGTTATAATTAGATTAAGTCATAGTAAAATTATGTTTTTAAGCTTACAGCAATAACGGCTAATTTGATTGAATATTTATTAATATTTTAATGAATAACATATAAATATATTATAATCAGAAATGACCTAAATCGTATAATTTATTTATTTAATCGTGTAAAAACATATTATGTGTTGTATGTCAGCATCATCATCATCATCATCATAAGAAAGGGCTTCTTCTCACAGGAAGAATTAATATATTATATCATAACACCGTATTTCTATATAAACGACGTTTTCCCGAACATCTAGTTAGGATATTTTACCCGAAAATATGACAAATAGTGTATTCCTCCCCGCAAAATACATTAGTACACGTCCGGAACCGAAGTAACACAGCAACATTTTAGCTTTTAATATTTTTATATTTGACTGCTTGAATAGATATTACTTTACTCGATTCATTTATTGTCGTGGGTGCAGGTTTGAAATCTGGCAACAATCAATGTGAATTTAGCCGAGTTATATGTCATTTCTAAGATTACTTAGATACCACTGACATACAGTGAAGGAAGTCATCGTAAAGAAACCTAAATTTTATAATTTCTAATTATCACCAACCAATCAAGGAAGCGAGTGTGGTGATTAATGCTCAAACTTTCTCCGTGCGAGAAGAGGCCTTTGCGAGAAGAGGCCCTTGCTCACCAGTGGGCATTATAATAGGCTGATGATGTGATGTGTGATGTGATTTGAATCGAATCAACAAATCATTTTAAATGAATGTGATTGATTTCAAAACAACTTACAATTGAAGTGTGGGAGAGCCATGCTTCTGCACGAATGGGTCGGCTCGACCGGAGTGATACCACGGCCTCACAGAAAACCGGCGTGAAACGACCACAGCGTTGTGTTTCGCTGTGTGAGTGAGGTTACCGGAAGCCCAATCCTTCCCCACCCCCAATCTGTCCTCAATCCCTAAATCTCCAAATCCCTTATCCCTGTAACGCACTCGTAACTTCTCGTTGCGGGTGCTGGTGTCCATGGGCAGCGCTGATTGCTTACCACCAGGTAATCCGTCTGATCGTCTCCCGACCTATAACATAAAAAATAACTTAAAATCAATTATGAACACAAATTAAAAAAAAGACACATTTTTTTCGGTAGGTAATAATAAAAAGCATGATTGTTTTATTATAAAAAATTAAATAAAAAATAAAGCAATAGTTTTTACTTACAGGGTGAGTACGAAATGCAATTCTCGTGCAACGTTGCATCGTATATGATCATGAAATACGGGTGCTAAAATAAACGTATGGTCCATTCCGGTAATGTATGGTAGTAAGCCAACATAAATCTCTGACTGTTCGTCAGAATTATTTTATTAATGTTTTATTAGCGGATAGTGCTGTGCATTGTGCAACTGGAACTTCAGTACTTGTGTCAGATAATTTAAAGTGTTTTTGAGTATTTAGTGTTACAATTCCGGTCCCGCACTTAAGACATCCGCTTTTTATAGATGAGGATTTGAAATCCGGCTAGTCCCGAAGTACTTTCAAAGATCGAGGAAGGAGGAAAGCAGGGCTTATATTTTATAATTTTAAGTTGGAATTATGTAGCAACAAAACTCACAAAATTAATTGACAGATGATTCGTGCTGAATGAACACTTCATTGTTACAAATTTTAAATAAAAAACTGGTTACAAAAAGATGTACACGTGTACCGAATAGATGTCCGTCTGCTCTAAAAGCCAAGAAAATCACTTATACTACTAGGTAGTGAGCTTCTTTTATACCTTCATCCAGCCGACTCAAGGTTGTCATTAAAGAGCGGTATAGGCAATATTATCATATTATTGACAAAGATTTATGTTAACAAAACGAAATCAGAAGGTGCCTGGTTGATTTGTGATTAAAATTAATAAGGATTTATTTATTAGTGACGACTTGTTATTGACTAACAGGTTCATATACACATAACTTTTGTTTTGTACTTAGCTTCCGCCCGCGGCAAGAAGCCTGTGTGATTATCTGGAGTATCTCTTTGTATAAATAACAACCAAATCGGTCCAGTTGTGTTTATTTAGCGGTTACACATTCTTACACTTATAACTTTCTTATTCATAATATTAGGATTTTAGAAGTTCTTAATAGTCCATAGTTGTTTTTTTTATGGGATAAGTCGGCAAACGAGACTACGGGTTACCTGATAGAAAGCAATCGGCGCCGCCCATGGACACCCGCAACACCAAAGGAGTTACGAGTGCGTTGCCGGCCTTTTAGAGATAAGGGTTGCGGATTTTTAAGGAATGGGAAGGGATAGGGGAGCTTTAGTAATTGGGCCTCCATTAAGCTCACTCACACGGCGAAACACAAGGCTGTGGTTGTTTAACACCGGTTTTCTGTGAGACTGTGGTGACCCATTCGTAGGAGCTTGCTCTCTCTAACGGTTTATTGTCTTTTTTTACTAAAGACAAAGTCAAAGTCAAAATAATGTATTTCAAATAGAACCATACAAGCTTTTTGAACGTCAAACAAAATTTTAAAGATATAAAGTGTCAGTCTAATAAGTTTTTTAT